AGGGATACGAGCCCCTTCTACGGCCCCTATTACGGCCTCCTCTATATAGCCGTCGGCTACGGCCCCTTCTATAGTCGTTGTTACTATTCCTATTGTTAGCATTATTGTTCTAGTAGGAACCTTAGTTTCCTCCGCGGCTACGGTAGGTAGCTAGGCGTATCTTAGATTCTAACCGTTATTAGAGCTAAATAGCTCGTTTAGCTATCTCTACTTCGACTATAAATTAAATACGTATAAGATTAGCCTATTCGAATACATAGCGGCGGTCTAATTTAAGGACTAGTTCCTATCTTAGTTTAGGTCGTATCTTAGATATCTAGATAGAGTCGGTCTTAGGTAGTAAGTCGTCCTTAAGGGTCTTTTGTAAGAAGGGTTATGTTAGCAGGTAGATAGGGTAGTAGTGAATTAGTATAGTATTCGATAAGGATCTAGGAGGAGAGGGAGGAAGGTAGGAGAGTTAGCCTAACGCTAAGCGCCAAGCCCTACCTAAGGCATTAAGACCCTAGCTTCACTCGGCCTAGTTACATGCTAATTACGTGTAGCCTCTTTAGCCCTAATATACGCTTCCCTTCTAAAGGCCGCGCCCTCGTAGCCGGTCTTGTTCTAATCTCTATCGCTGCTAACTTAGCAGGTCTAATAAGCTGCTTAATCCGCGCTAAATTGAATACGCAACTACCGATTATATAACTATATCAAACCTCACCTTCTAATACAATATCTAACTCCAACTGCGCTATCCTTATATATAATAAAGTAAAGGGACATAAAGCTACAAGAATTAAGGACTATCGACTAATTATAATACGAGCGTACCTTCCCTACTATAATAGGTAGGTATACGGGGTATTGCAGCACTACCTCTGTTCTAAGTAATATCGTACCGAGTTCTCTACGTCTACTCTTAAAAGACCTAGAAATGTCCGCTTCCGAGGGTTGTCCGTTCCGAGGGATTGTTCTTATTATTACGAGGGCTATTATTGTTCGTAGTTTCGCTAGCCCTAATTAGTTAGGTTTGGTAGCCTTCAATTATCAATCTTATCTTATCTTTTAAAAAACACAGCTCGTCTAGTTTCTATAGGTAAAGGCTATTATAAGTGTAGTAGTAGAGGTTCGCCTCGCTTAAAGGGTTAGATAGATCGAGGAGTAACCTATTGTCCGTAAGATCGACCCCGGCTAGCTTAGCTCTATAGTTTTGCCCTTAGTTAGTCTATAGGTCGCTTAATCTTTTAACTTAGTTAAAGTTTTAACTTAGCCTCAAAGTTTTAATTAAAGTTTTAATTAAAGGTGCCTTAAAGTTTTAACGTAGGTAAGGTTAATAATAGTAGCGACTAGGTAATATTAATAATAGCGGCGCTAGCCGTCTTAGCGCTAACTTTACCTTGCTTCCGGTTTCCTTCTTTAACTAATAATAACATTAGCAACACCGTTACTAATATAGCGGTATCCTTCTTTTCTCGAACAGCAACACACTCTGTAACACCGTTACTAACATAGCCGCGCTAGCCATCTTCTAATACACCGCCGTTCGTACGCGCGCGCGCGTATTCTCGTCGATTGCCTAGGCCTCGAGGCCTCGGTAGAATAAAGGAACAAGAGGTAGAGTCTTTAAAAGAGCAGTAACTAATTAACGCGTCGTAGCGCGCTTGTTAACACTCGGTGCGCGTTTACTATAGTAGTATAGCCTTATTGTCTCTTATTGCTAACAATTGCTTGTAGCTAATTAGTTAGCTAATAGTACCCCGGGGGTAGCATTAATCCTAGGCCTTAATAGTAACATTATAAGCTTTTAGCCTTCTTCTTGTTCTTTACGCTAGTCTAATACTTATCTAATAACTCGGTTATGTCCTTAAAGGAACCTTTAGCTTCCTATAAGTCCTATTTAGGTAAATAGCCTTGCTATCTCAATAGGTACTCCTTCTTGCCCTGCCTAGTCCGATGCTTTAGGATACGTTCTATAGACTATAGCTCTTCGCTATTAGCTAGTATGTCCTCGGATTTAGTAGGTGCTTCATCCCCTTCGCGTAGGTAGTACGGCTTAAGGAGGGACACATAGAAGGTGTCATAGATAGTGTAATAAGGTAGAAGCTATAACTAATAGGCCTAGGTGCCCCTAGGTTCTCGGATACGGAAAGGGCTAATGTACCTTAGTGCGAGTTTAGGCCTTGTTTTGCTATTAAGCGAGGGGTGTTTGCGGATACGGAGGTTCTTTATGCTAAGCATAACTAGGTCGCCTTACTTAAAGGTTATTAGGAGGTAGTGTTTATTATAGTAGGCCTTCTAATAGGCCTAGGCCTTTACTAGTTTGTTAGCTATCTTAGCGTGAATTTCTCGCATCTTTTGAACCCTCTTAATAGCCGCTAGTATCTTAGGTTAACCCGCTTCCCTTTCCTTACGCTCGGCCTCGAGCGATAGGGGGTCTTATAGCATAGCAGCGTTCTAGCCTATTATAGCGAAATAAGGTAAAACCTTAGTAGATAAGTGGACACTATTGTTGTATACGAATTCGGCTAGTTATAGGAGGTTAACCTAGTCGTTAGGGTTCTCGTTAATGTAGCTACGCAGGTACTGCTATAGCGTAGCATTTTGCCTCTCGGTCTAGCTATCTGTTTGTAGATAGAACGCTATAGACAGGCGATGCTTAAGTCTTAGCTATAGGCATATCTTACTCTAATAGTAAGATGTGAATGTCGAGCCTCTATCGGAGACTATCCCTTTAGGGGTTCCCTAATAGCTATAGAAGATGTTATTCTATAGTGACTTAGCTAAGTTAATAGCTGTCTAATCCTTCCTAGCAGGGATGTAACGAGCGCCCTTAGTAAATCGGTCTACGACGACTAGGATAGCATTAAAGATGTCTTTGCTTCCTCTTCGCTTAGTAGGGGGGAGACCTGTAATAAAGTCTATTGTAAGCTCTACAAAAGGCTTCTTTAGAACAGGGAGTAAAGACAACTCGCTAAATAGTAAGTGCTTTAGTACTTTAACTCGCTAGTATACTGCATAGGTCTGCATATACTCCTTTATATACCGCTTACTATTTGGCTAGTAGTATATGCGCGATAGTAACTCGTGCGACCTCTCTGTGCTATAGTAACTAGCGAGCTTACCGTTATAGTGCCTCTTTAAAAGCTCTTGTCTAATCGATTGTTTAGCGGGGATATAGTATCTGCCCTTAAACTTTAAGTAACCTTTGTCGTCGATCGACTAACTATTACTCTTGCTAGATCGAGTCTTTCGCCTACTTACAAGCTTGTCTATACGTTTAGTAGCAAAGGCGTCCCTCTACTAAGCCCGTAACAGCTTATCTATAAACGATTAACTATCCCTATTTACAAGGTTATTTAACAGTACCCTCGCTATTAAACGAGGTACGTATTATATGTATCTAATAGCACTAGCAGCCGGATTAACTGTATTAGTGCTATCGCTGTTACTATATATTGCGATGTCGACTAGGGAGTTATTATAACTTCTCCTATCTATGTCCTTAGCCCTTACCTTAACACGTACTATTAATATAGTAAGAGCATTAATATGCTTTAAGCCGTCGCGGAGTCCGGTAAGCCGCTTATCCTACGCTTGCTTATTAACAATATAGGCTATAGCAATCTTATACTATAGGGTTAGAAACAATGAATTGATAGATTGCTAAGTCCCGCTATCGTAATTAGGTCGCCTCGATAGGCTATTAGTAGGGTTGCTTACGCCTAGCCGATATAATATATCAAAATCAAACCTAGCGAGGTAGACGGCCTATCTAGCCTATCGACCTATAACCCTAGTAACCTTCGTAATTCTACGGAGGTTGTTATAGTCCGTATAGACCTAAATAGTATACTAGGCACTATCGAGATAGTAGCGCTAGTGCTTAAAGGCTTTAATAATAGCTAAGAGCTCTTGCTCGTAGGTCTCGTAGCGACGCTTAGCATCAATTATCTTCCTTAAGAAGAAGGCAATCGGGTACTAGTAATTGTTATTAGCCTATTGTAACATAATAGCTAATATAGCAAACTGTAAAGCGTTAGTCTTAACGCGGATCTGTTTGCTTAGTACGAAATAGTACAATAAGGGGACTTTAGTAAAGCGCTACTTCAAACCGTTAAAAGCGGCTCGCGCTTTGTTAGTCTATTTAAACTCTCTAGTCGGGTTAGCCTTAGTTTTGGTAAGTTTAGTTAGTGGCATTACATGCCTCGAATAGCCCTTAATAAATCGGCGATAGAAGTTAGCAAAACCGAGGAACGACTGTAGCTCCTTAATTAACGTAGGAATAGGCCATTTAGTAATTGTTTTAATCCGATTAGGATTAGCCTTAACACCCTCGGTTAATACGAGGAAGCTAAGGAATAACACCTCTTTAGCAGCAAAGGTGCATTTAGAAGGTTTGCAATACAGTCTATAGGCCCTTAGGCGATCGAGTACCTTACGGACTGTAGCCTAGTATTCCGTAATGTTAGGAGAGTGTATATAAACTAGGATATTATCTAGGTAAACTATACAGAGGTGATCTAATAGGCCCGAAAGGGCCCGATTAATATAGGACTAGAATATAGTAGGGGCATTAGCTAGACCAAATAGCATAACTAAGTACTCGAAATAGCTATAGCGAGTACGGAAGGCTGTTTTCTATTCGTTACCCTTACGAATACGGATACGATAGTACGCATCCTTGATGTCTAGTATAGTATAGTAGTAAGCGCTAGAAAGGCGATCGAGGGTCTTATTAATAAGCGGAAGTAGATAGCGGTCTTTAATAGTAACAGTATTAAGTCTACGGTAATCGACGTATAACCGCAGGCTACTATCCTTCTTTAGAACAAACAGGATTAGTGCACTAGCAGGGCTGTTACTATACCGAATGCGACCGTTAGCTAGGTTTTCCTCTAGGTACTTACGTAATACAGCGAGCTCTCGTTTACTAAGGTTGTAGAGGGGACTAAAAGGAACCTCTTTACCCTCTATAATGTCAATCTTATAATCTGTCTCCTTAAATATAGGCAATGTCGATGCTAAGTAGTGTTTAAACATATTAATATAGGTCTCTCGAATAGGCTCTAGTATGCGTTCGAGCTAATTAGAGTCTATGCCGTTAGGGGGCATAGGTTCTTCGTTATCCCTACCGAGCAGGTCGGTAGTCGGATTAGCTAGGGTTAGGTTGCTAATAAATAGGACCCTAATATCGTTAGGGCACTCGCTAACATTAATGTGTTTAATGTCCTCTTTCCTAGCGATTCTAAATCGCTACTATTAGCTACCTAGGTCTATAACTATAGCGTAGTACTTAAGAATAGGGTTGCTAATAACAATATCGGATAGGAGGCTGTCTATGTCTACCGCGTAGGCAGTAAAGTTTAGTAGGCGTTTATTTCCGAGGTCGTCTTTTAAAACTATAGGAACATAGTAGGCTCTATAGGTTAAGTGCCGAGCGTTATTAAACTAAGCAAGGGTTAGTAGGTCGGTCTTCGGCAGTTGTCGAAGGTCTAATTGCTTAGCTAGGTAATAGCTAATAAGGGCGCTAACTGAATTTCCGGGGTCTAGTATAACCTTTGCCTTATAGTTAGTGTCGGGCCTAGATATAAGATAGGTACGTATAATAGCTAGCACAATATCGATAGTCTTACGCCGCATAAGGCTAACAGTTAGTGCGGCGCTTACTCTTTTTTCGACTAATTAAAAGAGCCGACTAGGGTAGCATTAGCGGCTAAAAGGTGTTTCTTATACTTAGCGGAAGCACGGTTAATTCGGGCCTAGTCCTTAGGTTTGTCGCATTAGCCTAGTAGATAGCTAGTACTGTCACAATTAAAGCACTTCAATCCGGTTAGTAGACTGCCGTAGCTGTTGTTATTGTTAGCAGAGCGGTTAGCATTATAGGGATACGAGCCCCTTCTACGGCCCCTATCGCGGCCTCCTCTATATAGCCGCCGGCTACGGCCTCTCCTACGATCATTACTATTCCTATTATTAGCATTGTTGTCTTAGTAGGAACCTTGGTTTCCCCCGCGGCTACGGTTGCTACGGTTAGTACTAGCTAGTCGGATCCTCGATTCTAGTCGTTATTAGAGCTAAATAGCCCGTTCGGCTGTTTCTACTTCGACTATAAATTGAATGCGTATAAGATTGGTCTGTTTAAACACACGGCGGCGGTCCAACTTAAGGACCAATTCCTATCTTAATTTAGGGCGTATTTCGGAGATCTAGATAGAATTAGTTTTAGTCGGGAGGTCGTCTTCGAGGGTCTTTAAATAGGCCTTAAATGAGCGAGCTATCTAATTAGTCTTTTGCTTAGCCCGAAGGTACTAGTCCTAAGCGTGTTGTTGCCTTAGTATAGGGTTTCTAAGAGTGTCTAGCATAATAGTCTTATAGGTTTTCCACTAAATAGCAGTCTAATTATTAAGGGAATCGAAATAGTCGTCCTAGGTGCGCTTTAGGTTACTATTAATGTACTATATAGCGTAAACAACTAAGGAATAGTCGTCTAGAAGAGCCCTTAGTGCATTTCGCTAGTTAAGCTTACAATTACGTATGTAATTATTGTATTGCTTGCGACTAGAGCTATCGAATACGGTATAGTCCTTAAGTTTAGCATCCTTCTTCTAGACTAGGACTAATAGTGAGGAAGGCCCTACTATCGGCTTAGTATTAGTTGTTAGAGCCTCCTAAAGGCGGCGAATTTCGAGGAGGTTGTCCTTTAGCTATTGTTCTTAACGTAGGGCAGTAAGCCTGTTTTAGGTAGCTTCTTAGAGTCTCCCTACTAGTTAGGGGCTAAAGGCTAGCTAGCTATATCGTCGATTAACAATATTGTTAAGAATGTCGTCGACAGGCAATTCTAGGTCGTTACCCGGAATTATAGGTTCTTCTTTAATAGGCTCTCCGGCAGGCTCTTTAGTAGGAGGCACTTTAGTAGGCACTTTAGCGGGGACTGTGCTACTAGCATTGTTATTACTAGCGCTACTAGCGGCAGCACGGTTGTTATTGCTTCGTAATAAGCCGGCTATTATTGTAATAGGGGGTAACACTAATAATATATTATAGGCCCCTAAGATACGGATGTAGCGGAATTAGTAGATATCGGCTTAGTACGATTAACTTAGTGTAATAGGCCGTATAGAAGACCTTGCTTAATAATTGGTACGGTTATTCTAATAGAATAGTACGTATAGATCCCGCCTCGGGCGCAATATAGTTAGATTAACGGTTTTCGTAGCTATACCGCTAAAAGCTTAAAATAAGGACTATCTAGCTGCTACCCTTAAAGGGTAGATCGAATACTGTATAAGAAGGGTTATGTTAGTAGGTAGATAGGGTAGTAGTAAATCAGTATAGTATTCGATAAGGATCTAGGAGGAGAGGGAGGAAGGTAGGAGAGTTAGCCTAACGCTAAGCGCTAAGCCCTGCCTAAGGCATTAAGACCCTAGCTTTACTCGGCCTAGTTATATACCAATTACGTGTAGCCTCTTTAGCCCTAACATCTTTAGATAGGCCTCGAAGGATCGAGAGGTTTAGTCGGCCTTTTGTTTAGTACGTAGGTATTAGTCTTAGGCGTACTACTAGCGTAATATAGGGTTGCTAAGGGTGTTTAGTATAATAGTCTTGTAATTATGCTATTAAACAGCAGTCTAGTCGTAAAGGGAATTAAAATAGTTATCCTATATACGCTTAGGGTTACCGTTAATATACTATATAGTATAGACGACTAACGAGTAGTCGTCTAGAAGGGCCCTTAGTACGTTTCGCTAGTTAAGCTTATAGTTACGAATATAGTCGTTATATTGCTTTCGACTAGAGCTATTAAATACGGTATAGTCCTTAAGTTTAGCATCCTTCTTCTAGACTAGGACTAATAGTAAGGAAGGCCCTACTATCGGCTTAGTATTAGTTATTAGGGCCTCCTAAAGGCGGCGAATTTCGAGGAGGTTGTCCTTTAGCTATTATTCTTAACGTAGAGTAGCGAGCCTGTTTTAGATAGCTTCTTAAAGTCTCGCTACTAGCTAGGGGCTAAAGGCTAGTTAGCTATATCGTCGATTAATAATATTATTAAGTATGTCGTTAATAGGCAACTCTAGGTCGTTACCTAGAACTATAGGTTCTTCGGTAGGCCTAGTAGTAGGCTCTTTAGTAGGTACCTTAGTAGGAGGCACTTTAGTAGGCACTTTAGTAGGCACTATACTACTAGCGTTGTCGTTACTAGCGCTACTAGCGGCGCTGCGGTTGTTATTGCTTCGTAATAAGCCGGCTATTATAATAGGGGGTAATACTAATAATGTATTATCGGCCCCTAAGATACAGATATAGCGGAATTAGTAGATATCGGCTTAGTACGATTAACTTAGTATAATAGGCCGTATAGAAGGCCTTGCTTAATAATTAGTATAGTTGTTTTAATAGAATAGTATATATAGGTCCCGTTCTTTAGACGTAATATAGTTAAATCGATAGTTTTCGTAGCTATACCGCTAAAAGCTTAAAATAAGGACTATCTAGCTACTACCCTTAAAGGGTAGATCGAATACTATATAAGAAGGGTTATATTAGTAGGTAGATAGGGTAGTAGTAGGTACAAGTAGTATTCGATAAAGGTCTAGGAGGAGAAGGAGGAAGGTAGGCTAGTTAGCCTAACGCTAAGCGCTAAGCCCTACCTAAGGTACTAAGACCCTAGCTTTACTCGGCCTAGTTATATACTAATTACGTATAGCCTCTTTAGCCCTAATAGACTGCCGTAATTATAGTATTACCCTTATATAGAATAGTATTCTCTCGGCTATAAAGCTACTCTTAAATAATAAAAGGATCTATAGTACTACTAGGTCGTCTAGGCCTAGGGTATCTAGCTATATCTCTATTAGGAATATAGAACCTATTACTAGGTAATTATATAGCGCTTATTTAATAGGGCTACTATAAGTATTACTATATAGTATAGGCTATAGGTCGAGGCTTCGATAGCGCTAGGAGGGCTTTAGCGAGCCTATTATACGCGTCTTGTAATACTACTAGTAGCGTTAAGTTTACTATCTAATTCTTCGAAGAAAGCTAATCTAAAGGTCCTCTAGATTATCTAGATAAGTCTTTACTCCTTCGCCTATCTATTTCTAGCTTCTTATAGATATCGAATTTAGATAAACGGTCTAGAGAAAGAAGGGCTACTCTAGCTTTTTTAGCATTTTACTTAAATAGCTTTAGGCATTGCTCTTCTAATAGAGGCTTACCGCTTATAGGTATATATCTTAACTATAGTTACTAGAGAAGAGTACCTCGAGTTATACTTCTACTTAGTAATATAATTTTACTAATTCTAAGCTATAGAAATGTAGAAATAGTTAGCGTTTGTTATACTAATACTTTATGTGTCTCCCGCGAGCTAATCTAGGAGTAAAGGGGCGTTCTTAATAAGGATAGCGTGCTCTTAGTCCGAGGTCGGGCTAGAATAGAGCATCGACAGTTTATAGGCGTTAATAATCGCTTCGTATATGTAAGCGACTTCGACTATAATTGCGCGAAGAAGACGGAGCTCTATACATACTAGATTGTTAATAGAGGTTTAGCTTTACTTTAGTCTATTGTCGCTTCCTATTATTGTTGCGCCTTCCTTACTATATCGCAAACTTTACTTAGACTCGCTATAACTTCGCGCCTAGACTCGCTATATTGTTCTTCCTATACCCTTATCGATAGCGACTGCGATAGCGACTGCGACAGCGATAGCGACTACGATAGCGACTGCGATAGCGACTGCGATAGCGATAGCAGCGTTACTACTACTACTACCGTTTCGAGCTATAACTAGTATTTCGCGCGACCTTATTCTTATAGCTACTATAGGTGCTTTAGTACCCGATTTAGCACCTATATTACTAGCAGGAGGACTATATTTATCGTAAGCTAAGAGGCGCATCGCTATAGACTCGCTACTAACTCGCTCTAGCCTTCGACGTCCTACGACTACAAATACGAAAGATTTCTAGTACTATAGCGAGCAGATATAGCAAGACCTCCTCGACGATACCGCAAATCTATAAAAGAAGAAGGTAGTATTAAACAGACTACGTAAATACTCGGCTACGGGTATTATTATAGAGACTAAGTAAGGAAAGCTAGTACTATCGCTATATTACTTCTACACTCGCTACGATAACGGCTATAAGTGTCGCGTACTAGATATCGAAGGAGAGAGAGTCTACGCTTATTGCAAGTATTAGGGCAAGAGTAGCTATACTACTAGCGAGATTAAGGTTAAAGAAGAGGATAGAAATAGCGAGCTAGCCGCGATGCAGGCGCGAGTCGAGGCTATAGAGGCAAAGAATGCTATATTAGAGGCAAAGAATACTATATTAGAGGCAAAGATTAAGGCATTAGAAGCTAAGTTCGATAAGTTAGAAGGATATTGCCTCTCGTAGTTCAAATAGCTTAAGAATAAGGCCATTATTAAGTCTAAGGATGTATATACGATATAGAAGGAGCTATAGCTAAATAGCGATCGCGAGCTACTAGTAGATAATGTTTAAGGAGCGAGTCTATAGCGAGTTCTATAGCGAGTCTACTACGAGTCTATATTTCTATTTCCTTTCTTCTTCGATCGTGTCTCTATAGACAATAGATTAACTAGCTTCTAAGCACGCTTTAGCTTCTAACTCTTCTGTCCGCTCTAACTATCTTGCTAGCTATCTTGCTAACTATCTTGCTAACTATATTGCTAGCTATGTTGCTAGCTATCTTGCTAGCTATCTTGCTAGCTATCTTGCTAGCTATATTGCTAGCTATCTTGCTAGCTATCTTACTAGTCCTTAGCTTCGCTCGACTCTTTTAGAATAGGCGTAACTCGCGGTAGCCTCGCGGTGTCCTCGCCGCTTAGGTTAATAAACTTAGGCGGCTTTTTTGTATCGATTACCTTCTCCTTCTATAGCTTCTCTTACTTAATCTCTATAGATAGAACAACCCCGTCCTAACTCGCTATAGCACTCGCGCTACTACTCGTAGTAGGAGTACTTAGCCGGTGCTTCCGCTTTAGTTGCCTTTATTGCTGCGGCTTCCGCTATTGTTAGATACAGATTTTAAGGTAATAGATTAGTAGCTGCTTTATTGCTTTCCCTCCTATTTGCGGTTTAAAGAGTATAAGAGCCTCTTTAACTAGTCCTAGGCCGAGTGCTTTAGAAGCGACTTTATCTAGTAACAAGCGCTTATTATCGAAATTAGTATAGAAGAAGTAGTCCGTATAGTCGTCGACCTAATAGACGCTACCTTGCGGTAGGTCCTTAGCGTCAATCCGACTAAGAACCCAGTCTATAAGTAATATATTAGCTTCTTCGAAGTCTTTGTTAGACTAGATATTAGTAATAGAAGTCTATAGGACTAGCGGATTATATTCCTATAGGTCGACTCTACTCCTACGAGAAACCTCTACTCGCTAGCTAAAAACTGAATAGCGGTAGGTAAATAATACCTTTGTTAGCTCCTTTAATAGTTGTATAGGTATTAGTAGACGTTGCGAGAGGCTCCGAGATCTAGCATTTAGTCGAGAAGTTAGCTTATACTGCTAAATAGCAGCATTGCGTATAGTATTCGCCGCCTTAGGTAGAGAAGGGAACGCATTAAAGCCTCGTACCGTACTCGTAGTTAAACTCGTAGCAGTAGTAGCGGTAGCAGCTACGGCTGCTACTAACGGCTCGTATACAAATCGCTCGGTTAGTAGATTAGGGTTCTTAAGACTACATTAGTTACAGAATGCGTATGCTTTTAATAGTGTTATATAGTTAGCGCCGGTAACAGTATAAAAGGTACCCTAGACAGGTATTGTTAGTAGTAGAACTAAGGTAGAACTATAGTAGTAGTATAGAGGTAGAACAAGATAGGAATTGAAAGATTAAGAAGGAAATAGAACTGAAATAAGCGACTCGCGGCCGGCTCGCGGCCGGCTCGCAAATCCCTCATTTTAGATTAGTATATATTATTTGCAAACTTAATTAATCCAGCCCCGGTATTCGCCCTACCTAACGTCTAATTACGAGCTGCTAATAGCTTGTCTAACTCTATTAGTTCAGGCCCTAACCCTATAGCTATATACTCGGCAATTAGCTATCGAAGAAGTAAGTATACCTAGCGGTAAACTCGCTCTCTATCGCTATTATTCTCGCTACTACTAACTAGATACGAGAAGCCGCGAGTCTATAATGCTATCTAATACTAAGTAAGCGTAGCCTCGGGTAGGTAGGCTTTAAGATCTAGGAATTAGCGAGTCTATTAGCGAGTCTGTAGCGAGTCTATAGCGAGTACTATAGAATCTAATACATACCGAATCCTTAAAGGTCTTGCTCTATATTATCAAGTACGCTATTAGGTATAGGAATACCTTAATAAGAATGCCCGCTTAGCTCTAGATAATAGTATAGAATATGCGGAATACCTAGTACGACGTATAGTCGATTAGCCTGCTTCCTAATCCGATAGCTATTCTAGAGGTAAATAAATTCGAGGACTTTATAGCGTATAATTAGTATATAGACTGCAAGGAAGGCAATCCGATCGGCTAGCAATTTAGCATCGTATAGTAACTCGCGTAGCAACTCGTAAAAATAGCCCCTCTAGCTATTTAATACAGGTGCTTGCTAGCGCTACTATGCCTCGATCCGCTAGTTTATCTTACTCGTACCGTATTTGAAGCAGTCTTCGAAAGCTAGTAGTTCTAGTTCTAGTTCCGGATCCGGGTTACTACGAGTCGTAAGGCGAGTCGCAAGGCGAGTCGTATAGTAAGCGTCCGCGGCTAGAATCGTTTCCGCCCTACGGTCTAATCGGATAATCTATAGCATTATACTACTATTCTTAATCGTTGCAATATATTAAGCGAGTACGGATACAGCTATACGGCTAGTAATCCCTACGTAAACCTAGATAATGTAACGCGAGTAGACATTAATAGCTGCGTAGATCTGTATCCCCTAATACTCGAATTTATAGTAAGCATCTATTAATATTACGTAGCTAGGGCCTAGTATAATAATCGCTCTATAGTGCTCTCGCGCCCGCTCGCGGCGGACTCGCAACCCTTTAGGATTTAGTAAGCAAGCTATACGATATAGCCGATCTCTGCTAATAATATTGTATTTAGACCTAATATAGGTATATAGGTACCGTCGGCCGAAGGACTCTACTATAGACTTCTCGAGCTCTTCCTATAAGACCTCTACTATCTCCTCTTCCGCTTCTATCTATCTATCTCGCGATAATGCCTTCTTTAATCTAAGCTCTTAACGTATCCGTTAATATCTCCGCTAGCTAATATTAAATCTATCTATCTTTAGTACTTTAACCGCTTCTTTATTAGTTAAGCGTAAAGCGGAGAAGGTATATACGACTCGGATCTTTAGTACCTCGATATTATTAACTCGGTTATAGTAAGCGTAATAGCTATAATTAACCCCCTATTCCTTAAGCCTCCGACAAAGCGTAGAAAGAGCTATCTAGTAACTAGTCTCTTATATAAGGTGCTATAGGATTTCGCCTTGTATAGTGCCGCTATTAACTTGTAAGGTTATCTAAGCCCTCTATAGCGAGAGATCGATACGTAGAGGCATTTTGCGAGTCAATAGCGAGTATAGTACGAGGGCAAACATAGAAAGTTGGTCGTAGAGGTGGGCTAGTAGAGGAGGCGGTGAGAACCTCCATTGACAATCTGGTATGTATGGGCCTCCCTAGAAGAAGCATGCACGAGCGACGCGAGCATGCTTGTGATTGCTATGCGGACTGCATAAGTTGACCATGCTGCACCTCCATACCTGACAGCGCCATAAACATTCCAAGGAGTCGAACAGGTCGTATATTCATTCACCATGGCTACTTTCGCGTAAGTGCTCGTGAATCATGGTTCTTCAGTCCACTACGCTCATCATCCTCGCAGCAAGTCTACATTTGGTCATGCCTCGTACGCTGCCTTTCGACCTTCATACCCGACCAGTCTCTACAATGCCGTCCTAGCCTACCATCGCGGTCCGAAACGATTCTGCCTTGACCTTGGATGCTGCACCGGTATAGCGACGCGTGAAATGAGCAAGCGCTTCGAAAGAGTCGTAGGCACGGACCCGTCCGCAGGCATGGTAAAGCAGGCACAAGAGCGAGCAGCGAAAGAGCAATCGTCAAACATCGAGTTCAGACAAGCTTCAGCCGAGGCTTGTGAATTCATCCGCGACGGCGAGGTCGACTGTGCAATGGCCGCACAAGCCGCACATTGGTTCGACTTCTCTCGTCTGTGGCCGGAGATCAATCGCATCGTGAGACCTGGCGGCACGCTGGCATTCTGGGGATACAAAGACCATGTGTTTGTGGATTTCCCCAAAGCTAGTGAAATCATGATGTCTTATGCCTATGACAAGCATCCAGACAAGCTAGGATCGTATTGGCCTCAGCCTGGTCGATCGTATGTTCAGGACAAGCTGCGGGTCATCCAACCGCCTGCTGAACATTGGGACGACCTTCGGCGGATCGAGTATGAGCCTGGCACTAATGGCAAGCATACTGGCGAGGGCACTCTGTTTATGGAGAAGACTGTTAGCGTGGGTGAATGCAAAGAGTATGTGCGCACGTGGTCGTCATATCATGGCTGGAAGGAAGCGCATCCGGGCCAGGAAGCTCGTTCGAAAGGCGGGAATGGCGATATCATGGATCGAATGTTTGACGAGCTTGCCCAGAGCGATTCGCATTTTCGCAATGATGAGAATCTCGTGGATATTGAATGGGGCTCGGCGTTGGTTATGGCGAGGCGCAAGTGAAGCTACCGTGCCTTTACGCATACGTGTGGAAGATGCGTGTGGAATACTTCTCAGGGCCCACAAAGATTTTTACCTCAGCTGTACCGGCAACTCTCCCAAGGATCAGATCGTCCTTGATTCCCCCATCCCACCTGTCCAAATTCTGGAGAGCATTCTCAATATTTTCGAAGCTCTCGTGAACTTCTCACACGCAAGGGGGAATTTTGATCGATCGCATGCACAAGTGAGAAGAACTTGCGCTGGGAGAATCCAGTGTATGCGACTGGAATGATTGAGGGTCAAGATCACACCGGAGCATTCGCATCACTCGGTCTGTTTGACTTCGAAGACATGCAGCTCCGGGTGCGTGTCGTGGATACAGATGCTGTACGAGAGCGATATACGAACGGGCCTGAGCAGATCCAAGGCCTAGAAAAGGACAGCATGCGACTGCTTGAACTCGAAAGAAAGCTGTCAACGAATGGTCGCGCCCACCTGATTGGATGTACAGCAGAACATCTCAGACGGCCCCCCGCATTCGTTTATGTGAAGAATGCCACGGGTGTCTTCGTCCGCTGCGTCCTCGGGGCATGGGTGTTTCACCCGTCTGTACCGGAAATACAGGAGCGACGTTGACGCTGGATGCATTGCACTGGCATCTATCTTATGCAGGAGCTGCAAATTAGCCTATGGGGAAATGGAGTGCAGTATATGTACCCTGGGCGGGATGCACTATAAGGAGAACAACTTCTGCAACGATTAATCGCCATAAATCTGTTCGCTCATAACGTTTTTGGCACTCCAAAGAACCAATGGACAGATCACCTCCGACGTTGGCCTTGGCTCCTTGTAGAACTCGTCAGCACGGGAACGACCTGGATACCCGATGCTTCGGTGAATATCTCGCGACATCGTCGAGGTTGGAAAGTAGGAGTTGGTGATGTAGACAACTTTTCATCCCAACCGACTGGACGAATTTTAGCTGGGGCACGGCAAGTGAATTCGTCGCGTGGAATGAAAACAGCTGATATGCAGGCCATCAAGGATAACGATCTCATCGTCGATCTGTCACTTGGTCCAAACCAGGGCGCAGGAGTTCCACCGCCTCTTGACTCCGATGAGCTTCAATGGGATGTGTAGCCGTTGAACATGACTGTTCAGATTGGCGGTCGCTTTCGCGACGTACTGCCTGGCTGGAACACGGGTCCGCTCTGCAGGACTGGTAAAAAAGACCAGGAACGTCAGCTCTGATACCTCGTATACACTCTGGACAGCTTCACTCCACTGCAGGATGTGACAAGCAAGGTCTCAAGTAGCGGCGGCTCCCTTCCAACGTTACGGGAGAGCTCCTCTTACTACTCCACCCTCAGTATCGAGAGCCGCAAACACCCCTTCTAGTTACATCCGGGATTGGTGTGCTGCAGTCTCCGGCCACCTCTTTCGTATGTGCGAAATGGATCGCGGGTTGAGGATAGGATACTTGCACCGAACGCTCAGACATTCAAAGCTCTGGTGTTACGAGGTAACGACGCTCTTACGACCTCTGGGGTTGCTACGCTGTGTCATTCGTCCTCCCTGCTGTCATTTCAGGTGGCATCCTCCAACGTCTCAGACCATAACGGCAGAAGATTTCAAGGCCATCGCATCTGATCTCGACAGCTTGGAGACCATGTCGAATGTGCACGTGGTGCCTTCGATGGCTTAGCCAGATGTTTGGCCAGGATCGGCATCATTCCACGCATATCGACAGGGTTGGATTCTTCAGACGATTCCATTTGGTATTCTTGATAGCGAGAAAGCGTCAATGAGTCTCCTGTCTTCATCTACAATGATAACCGGGAGTGGAATGACGTCTTCAAAAAAGGAATTGACTTTCGAAACTATTAGTCGACCTTCGTTTACGGTGCGCGGACTGGCGAGCAGATGCCTTTGGCCGAGTACGGCCAAGATGAGAAATCTACAACACTCAATATGGCTTGGGCCGGCAATCAATCTACAGTTGTGGCTTTCAGACAGCACGGAGCGTGTAGTGGTGCCGCAAGTCCTCAAGCAAAGAAGAATCTCGCGCCTCCGAGTACAATCACGCTCGGAAATTGGATACTTACGATCGATTCACGGCGCCGCCGGGTTTCGACATCGCAGGGACTGTCGAGCAGAACACCACGTACGATATTAGTGCTTCGTTACCTTAGAGAGATCTTTCTCACCTACGTCCCTGACCGAGGATATTATCATCACACTACCTTGAATTGGCCACCGTTATCAACAAGTGTTCGAGGAGCCATCATTCACACCGCTATGCTCTACGTTCATGGACAAAGGACAAGGCCGTTAGATGTCACTTGGCCAAGAGTTGATCTGACTAAGCACTTGAAATCGGGGATGAACGCCATTGATATTGTAGTCAGCACGCCTCTCAGAAATGCTCTCATCCCGGTCCAAGATAGATTGTGCAGCATGGGCGTGATGCCTTCGAACCTCGTGGCAGCAGCTATCGATGGTCCCGACAATACTTTGATTTCTGTCGGTAACTACGTACTAGTAGGAGAGGTTTCCCTAACACCACACTGAGGAAGTCAGGATGCTGGCTTATTAGGCTTTGCAACAATACCGCTCTTGTGTATATCCATAGTACTTTCTCTCGAAAACGACATACGGGATGCTCGGAGAAACAAATACGCCACGCCCTGGCATACAGCAGCGGCCGTTTATTCTAGCCACGAAATTCTAAAAAAAACATCTATCCGGCTAGGCCCTCGATGCTTGCCTTGATCTGCAATGCAAGATGTCGAGAATAGATCCGACACAAGGCAAGACTTCCTCCCATGAACCACAACTTCGGATGTCCAGAGGGACGCCACATCTGGTGCGAGAGTTAGCACGTCTGATCCAGGACCAGGACATGGAAATGGTAGAGCACAGCACAACTTACTGCATTGACCTCGCCTTCAGCATCCAGGTTCCATACGTCCTTGCAGCGATCAGCCACCTTATCACCAAGAACCTTGCGCACAGTCGTCCTCATATTATCATATCCGGTCGCGAGCACGACCACGTCAGCCTCGAGTTCTCTTCCATCAGCCAGCACAAGAGCCTTCTCCGAGAATCCTTTGATACCATCTGGACTTTGCTCGACCTTGATCTTGCCGTCGATGATCAACTGGGAGCATCCAACGTCGATATAATACCCTCCACCTCTCTCAATGTATTTGCGATAGATGCCCGATCCATCGTGGCCAAAGTCCAGCTTGAAACCCGCCTTGACCAGACCATCGATATTTGCCTTCTCGGCCGCTTTGATTCGGTCCGTCAGACCAACATTCAGAGCAAATTGGACGGGAATTGGCAAGCTCTGGCCAGCGACGTCTGCGTCCTCGGTTGGCGGGCCGTGCTCGTCGTACATGCCTTCGTGCAGCATGAAGAGGCCTGTTTTCGCCGAGATCACATATGTGCCCTTTCTCTGCAGCATCGTGACCGAAGCGCCATACTCATGGTAGTTTTGCGCGATGTCGTGTCCAGAGTTGCCAGTACCTACAACGACAACTCGTTTCCCAGCGACGCCGTCCTGGAAGGTGGCATCCTTGTGCTGGCTTCCATGGTATACCGTCCCCTTGAAGACGTCCTGACCCGGGAAAGTAGGAATGTACGGCTCTCCAGCGTGCCCGGTGCACATGACAACATGTTTCGGTTTCACGGTTCTGACACTGCCGTCTGCTCGCAGTACATCCGCCGTCCAGGACTGACTATCCTCCACATACTCCACCGCCTTGACCGTCGACTGCAACCAAACATTCAACTCCATCGCACTAGCATACCCCTCCAACCAATCCGCAAGCTTGTCCTTGGGCGTAAAAAGCGGCCAGTTCTCGGGAAACTTCATGTACGCCATATGCGTATACTGCACCGGATCATGCGTCACCAAACTCCGATACCTCCTCCTCCAACCATCCCCCACCCTCTCATTCCTCTCCACAATCAACACCGAAACCCCCAGACCCTGCAACCTCGCCCCCAAATTCAACCCCGCCTGTCCCGCCCCAATCACCAAAACCTCCGGCTCCTTCCCCCCCACAAACTCCCTCTCCCGTTCCCGCCTCTCCAACCAATTCCCCCCTTGCAGAGAATCCGTTCCCCCATGAGGCCTCCTCTCCCCCTTCCCTTCCGGAAACTCCCTCAACTCCTGCAACGACGTGTAAATCATATGTGCTTTCCACACCCCATCGTCGGGCCCCCTCGCCAGACGAATCATCCCTTTCCCCGACCCCACGTTCGTGTCGAAATGAAACATGAATTCGATCCATTCCAGCCCCGGGATCGGTTCGTCGTTGTGAGGAGCGAATTTCCCGGTTTCTTGAAGGCGGAGGTTTTTTAAGAGGTGGGGGGTCTTTTTTAGGAAGGTGAGGATTTGGGGACTGCTGCGGAGGGTGTGGAAGTCCCAGGTGAGGGCGAGGTGGTCGCGCCACCAGCTGTCGTCGTGGAGGAGGGGGGTCAGTTGGCTGGCGTCGGGGGAGGAGAGGGCTTGGGAGAAGGAGGTGAGAAAATTTTGGGCGATGGTGGAGGGGGTTTCGGGGTCTTTTTGGGAGGTTGTGGTGGTGCTGCTGCTGCTTTTGCTGAATTGTGGGAGAGTTATGTCGTGGGGACTCTTTGATGAGGGGGGTGAAATTACTGTGGCCATGTTGGCTCACGATTGTAGATGGCTGTGTAGACCTACTCGGTCTGTCTGTCTGTCGTGTCGCTCTCTCGGATAGCAGGACCTCTTATTATTATACAACGGCAATAATGCCTCTACCGATGCTGCTACGTGTCTGTGACGTTCTCGGATCGTGGTAAAGTTATATGGCCCACATGACAGCTCTCCAGCACATGCTGCAGCTGAGGGAGGGAGCCATGCTTCGTTTCCAAGCAAGCAGGGTCTTTGTGCCGCCTCGGGATACCTCACTCCGTGGCTGCCTCATATGATCCTTCTTCGGACCATGTCCACTCCGACCCTTGCCATATACAGCAGGCGATCATCGAAAAAGACTCGATCGCGCGGGAGTCCTGGATAACTTTGGATCGAGTGTTGCCTTCTCGGTTCAATGAAGAAATCCTCCAATGATCACACGAATTATCTACGTATCTTGTTGAGACCATTTGGAATCTACAATCAAGACATAGGAATGAAAGCAATGTACATGACGATTCGACACTGCTCCCGCCTACGAAGCAAAAGCAGAATATGGCCATCCATCCTCGGATGTGACACAAGCGAGACAGCAGTCTACTGACATCTCCGAGTCACAGCCATCTCTACTTCGATAGTGCCTCCACAGTAACATTCTCGACAAACTTCGCATCAACACTACCCTTCCGGTCTTGGTCTTTCCGTTGAGATTCCGTAGCAAGAGCAATACGCTTCTGCTCCGCCTCAATCGCCTCAGCCGGTCGCAGGTGCTGCTTGGCAATGTGATCACCAATGGGGATCGGAATGCGATGCGGCGAGTCTCGATCGAAATAAGCGTCCAGATCCTCGAGCGTGCGGTTTGCCGTTTCCGGATAGAGGAAATATACCACGGGGAGGAAGGCGACGTTGAAGACTGCGAACATGACGTAGAATTTGTAGCCGAGATTGCGGATCCCGACGGAGGTGAACTGAGTGCATACGAATCCGAAGAGCCAGTTCATGGAAGTGGCGGCGGCTGCGCCTTTGACTCTCATGGCGAGCGAGTTGACTTCGGCCTGGTAGATCCATGGGACCATGCCCCAGGTACATCCGAAGGCGGCGTAGTAGAAGAAGAGGAACGTGATGGCGACGGCACCCCATTGTTCCGGCGCGGAAGACAACACGCCCACGGCGATTGCGACCATGATGTAGGCAAAGCCTTGCAGAGCGAGGCCCCAGAGCATTAAGAATCTTCGGCCGGCGCGCTCGATGATCCAGAATGCCAGGGCGGTAGAGATGCAGTATGAGGTGGCATTGACACCCGTCAAGACGCGGGCCATGAGCTCGCTCAGGCCGAGATTCTGTTCGAGGATGATGGAGAAGTAGTAGTTGAGCGCATTGATGCCGCCCTAGAGTTGGAAGGTCAGCTGGCGTGTGCCATGTACCGAGACATCATGTCGTACGTACCATCTGCTGCATGAATTGCGTTCCCATGCCAAGAAGCATACGAGCGAGGTGATTGGAACGATCTCGACACAAGATGACTTCTTTGAAGCTGATCTTCGAGCTTCTTTCGATCTCCAGTGCTCCTCTGATGGACTTGTATTCGTTCTGAACCACATCATCGTCGGCGGAAAGGCCTTTGCCCAGATAGCGCCGCAAAGATTCGATGGCCTCTTCGTGGCGATCTCGAAGCAACAGCCAGCGAGGTGACTCCGGTAGGAGGAATAGGAACGAGACGAGGACGACGGCGGGGAAGAGTTGCAGAGCAAACGGGATCCTCCATTGGCCGTCGTTGTGGAGGTAGGAAGTGGCCAGGGTGAGCCAGCTGCCCAGCATGTAGAAAATGACATTATGCGTGACGACAATGACGGACAGCTTCCCTCGGCGCGAGCCACGGCTGCTCTCAGCTTGGTAGACGCCGCAGGTGGAAGAGGTCATGCCATTGCCTATGCCATTGACCGTCCTCCCGAACATGAGCTGGCCGAAGGAAGTCGAAGAGAATTGGAGGATTGCGCCGACGGCACTGATTCCGGCTCCAATGCGAAGAGTGTTTTTCCGACCGAGCGTATCACCAAACAAAGCGGCGACGATGCATCCCACGAGGTTGCCCAGGGAGAATATGGATGTGAAAGTGCCTTCCAGGACCGGCTTTTTGACTTGCGGGAAGCGATTCAGAAAGCGATCACTGACGAGAATGCCAGCGATGATGCCCTATCAGGGATGAGCAGGATGTAGCAGCAGGCAGTCCTCATCGTCGTCTGACCTGATCGTAGCCATACCACGCCTGAGCCGCTGAATTGGCGGTCGTTAGAGCAATCTCGAGTGCATAGCCTTCCAACATCATTTCGTAGTGCCTGGGACGGGAGCGGCGACGGTGGATGCGAGTCACTTCAGCAGGGGATTATTCGGAGATGTGCACGTCGTTGCACCTTATAGACATTCGAGCATCCCGGCCTGACCACGTTTGTCTGCATGATGTGCATTCCCCTTTCCCCGTGGGGCCTCCGCAAGATCGGCAGTCAATGCCTCAAAATTGCTGCACAATGGTTTAGCCAAGCTTTGCCGGGGTCGGAGTCGGAGTACAGCAGCGAGATGGCCCGAGGGCGAAGGATGGATGCCAAGCTGTGTAGATTTCTCCGCATTATCGACTCCTCTTCTTGAAGTCTGTATCCATCCGCCGTCGGAGCAGACACGGCGCGCCCAACACCACCCATCTCCTGCGTGGAGATCGATGATCTGCAAGATCTGGCGGCGTGATCATGTCAATAAACAGGTCCGCCGACAGGAAAATAGCGTGGGTGGAAAGCCCCGATCCAAAGCGGACATAGACAAACGGCTGACGTGAATGCAAACCAGGTGCAATGCCTGCCGACAGAGAAAGACGGCGTGCGACGGCGCGCAACCGCGGTGTGGACTGTGTCTGCGGAGCCAGTTCCAATGCGAGTACACGGCTCGCAGTCGAGCGCCGGGTCTGCGTGCCGGATATGTCTCGCAGTTGGAGCAGCGAATAGGTATGCGTATGCCTTGGCCCCAATCAAGGAAGGCACTGAATGAATGATTATACGCATGCAGAGCAACTCGAAGGTCGCTTGGCACAAGTCGAAGCCCGGCTCGACCATGCGGCGAGCCACGCAAGCGCGAGCAATGGAACGGGAACGGTTCAGGATGGAAGCCGTCGGAGCATGGAAGGGGAAGCCATCCCGATGCCGATGGTCGACAATGATAATGCCATCGAAAACGATGCCGTTCCTGCGCACGAGCACACGCGGGCAGATGCCGCACGGGAGACGTCCAGCAGTCCTTCGCAGAGCTTCGTGCCCAAGCCATTGCTTTCGGAAGCGATCGAGGTCTGGTTCCGTGAATGTCATCCGTGGTTCCCCATCCTGCACCAGCCCTCGTTCGTGCGCATTGTCGAGCAGCCAGACATCGTCGTTCCACGGGAAAGGGAGCTTGTGGTCCTTGCCATCACGCTGGCCACGGCGGGCCGATTGCGAGACACATCACTCGACCAAGCCAGGGCACAGCAGTGGCGGCATGAGTTGATGGCGTCTGTGCTGACCAGAGCGGTGGCCCACGCCTCGCTGGACTCCATCCACGCATTGCTCATTTTGTCCACCCTCTCTTACGGCGAGGGAAGACTCATGGAAGCGTGGAATCTGCTGGCCATTGGCCGCCGCATTGGTGCGCATCTGAGTCTGGATATCATGACGGATCAGACCGCTCCGATGGCCACCACGCCCACAGCACTTCGGCGCTTGCCCAAGCATACCAATCTTGTCATCGCGCATGAGGAGAAGATCCGCGCGTTCTGGATGACGAGAATGCTGGACAATATCTCGGTGATAGGTGCGAGATACGAGGCAGGCTCGGCAACACTTCCCGGTGATCCATTGCTGCCATGTAGCGATTCGTTCTGGGCCTCGCCCAACATCATCCTGAACGAGAGCCAAGTCAGGCCCTTTGGATACTGTTCCGCATTCAGTCTCTGCATCATCTTGGCGGTCAGTGAGCTGTCCTACGTTCACCAATTCTTGCGGAAGCCCGTCAACATGGCCAATTTCGAAGAGCGTGATGCTTGGCAAAGCGAGGCGCAACAGATCGACGAAAGACTCACGGCCTGGCGCGACGAATTCGTGGCAGCCTTCTTCCGTTTGGCGAATGCAGAGTATGCGCAGCACGACCGACCAGAGATGGATTCGTATGTCGTCCTCACCAACTGTGTATTGAACACAGCCGTGATTACTCTGCTCCACCGCAGATCGCCATGTCCACACGGAGTTGAGCAAGTGGTCGAGCCGTGGGCGTTCGCGAGTAATCGCTGCGTCTATGCGAGCGAGAACACAGCCTTCAAGATCCGCCAGATGCATGAGGATGAGCTGATCAACTGCCACCCGCACCTGGTCTTTTCCATCTTTGTCGCCGCGCGATTCTACATTGTGCACTCAAAGGCGCTGGACGCTAATGTGCCGACTAATTTGCATTCATTGGCTTTTGCTCTGCACACGTGCGGGAAGCGCTGGCCTCTTGCACGGCTGTTTGAGCATATCATACGCGTTGCGGTTGCCGAGTATCGAACACCGATAGCCCTCTCGACCGTGCCCAAGGAGTTTTACGATCTTCGATTGACCACATTCGAGATAGCGGAGTCGTTGATTGATTGGGCACAAGGTCCAGGATCACACGAGGCCGCTGACCTGGAGTCGATCCAACCCCATGCGGCTACAGCATTCAGACCAATGGCCATCGATGCTCTGGCGTGATGTGCTGTGCTCCGTAACACAGGCTTCTGAGCTCCGCAATGCTGTAGCTTTGACTTTACCCCAACCGGAGGTACATGGTCCGAAGCGTGGCATCGCCGCAATGCGTCACCGATTGCCGAATCCTCCTCGGTGTCATCAACCACAATCAAAGTAATAAGTCTGGAGAGACAGTTCGGCGTCAGCAGTCCTTGGAATTGAAAAGGTTTGAAAATTGACCCCGTTGCTTTTGTTATTGAAAAGCAGTCGAGATGGGGATTCAGCCACTGCCATTGGAAAAAGAAGCCGGCCGAAACCTACCAAATGGCGTGCGTATCAACACTCCGAATGGAGCGGCCACGGTCATGCCGGTATACAGGCCTGAAGACCTGTTCCGACTGGATGGACGTACTGTGGTCGGTACGTCTCGATAAGATTCGATGATGAGTGAACCTCCCTGACGGATGCAGTGACCGGAGGGCTTGGCAGCGTCGGTATGGGCCTCGTCCGGACACTGTCTTATTACGGAGCCGATGTGATTCTGGTCGATCTCCTTCCGTCGCCATCGGAGGAAACATGTGGTGAGTGCTGGACTGTTCACAACGGTTGGCCAAGCTGATCGTTTTGTAGAGGTGTTGAAGACCGTGGCATCGACTCACAAACGTGAGGTATCGTACATCTCATGCGATGTGACCAGCGAGGAGAGCGTCCTAGACGCCTTCAAGAAAATCGAGTCCACCGCTGTGAGCCCCATCAGAGGTCTCGTGACTTGCGCAGGGCTTTCGGGCCGCTGTCCTGCAGTCGATTGACAATTTTCGGAAGATCATGGAAATCAATGTCACTGGAACCTTCTTGTGTGCCCGAGCGATGGCGCGGATTATGCATCGTCAAAAGGTATCCGGAAGCATTGTCATGTTCGCCAGTATGTCCGCAACAAATGTCAACAAAGTAAGCAGCCACGACAGGTATAACCACTGATGCTTATCTATATTGCTAACGAGATCCAGGGAGTCGATACTTGCGCGTACAACACATCAAAGTCGGCTGTCCTGCAGCTCGCCCGCAGCCTGGCTGCAGAATGGGGCCATGATGGCGAGCATCCCCCGATTCGGGTGAACACTGTTAGCCCGGGATATATCATGACGCCAATGACTCGCCCAACGTTTGAAGAATTCCCAGAGTTGCAGAAACTTTGGCAGGAAGGAAACATGCTGGGCCGCATGTCCACCGTGGACGAGCACCAATCATCGGTCGTGTTTTTGTTGTCCGACGGAAGCTCGTACGTGACTGCTACGGACTTGCGAGCCGATGCCGGTCACTGCTCATGGTAGATGGTGGAGAGAGAATACACCAGTTGTAGATGTTCCACCTCCAATGGATCGAATCATGGCCAGAGTCCAAGCCGGACTTGCGGAGCTTATTCTAAGGCGGGCGAAGGACGATGCTCACGCTTCAGCCACATTGTATTCTATGACCTGTAGCTAGTCAAATCCAGAATGCAAATTTTCCTTTCCTTGCTGTCTACGGTTTTCTCTCCTGAATCAAGGGTCGAGAACTCGGGCTGCAGGCGGCTTGCGGTTGTACTGCACGGCTTTATGGCCTCTTTCCTGCCCCGGACCAGTGCCGTGACCATCCGTATAGCAGCTCTGGCAGTAGATGTCATTGTCGCATCCAAGACATCGTACCTCGCCGTCTTCATTGCAGATGCAGCACCATGACTCAACGTCTTGATCTGTGTACGTAGGCAAGTTTGACTTTGATTTCGATTGGAGTGATGCGGGGTTTGTCGCCGAGGGTTTGTTTGTGGGCGTCGATGGCAAGTCGAGGCCATCCATGGCAAGCTTGGAAAAGCGAGCTTCCAGATCGCTGTCCTCGTATGAAGGGGCATCAGGGTCTGACGGGTTTGGCGACTCTTGCAGCCGGGAAGGCGGAGAAGGAAGTTGTAAAGAAGAAGAAGAAGAGTCCTGCCTTGGCTCGGAATGCTCATCGTTCTGCTCGAGTTCCAAGGCTGCGAGAAGTTTTTCGATGTACTCAGCTTCGTCCTCCTGATCATCGCTCCGACGACTTTTGGAATCCTCTGCGTTTCTCATGCACTCATCAACTTGTCCCTCGGCCTCGAGTGAGCTGCTCGGCTTGGCTTCTGACGGATCGGGCAGTGCGTCGTTCGCCTCTCTCAGCAAGGAATCAATGTGTTTGGGATCTTCCGGGTCGAGCCAGGCAAGTTTTCCGCCTTCGCTCCGTCCCAGTTCGGCAAGGAGTTCGTCCAACGTCTGCCCGTCTTCCGACTGCTGCTGCCAGTTGCGGATGGCATCTCGCTCTGAAGTCACTTGATCGCGAGTGTCACTTGTTAGAGCCGTCACCGGGTCTGGACGGGGTGTTGAGGCGGACGGAACAGGGCTCAGCACATTTTCTGGAGCGGGAAGATTGCCATCGCGCAACTGTTTGAGACGCCTTGCCAATTTGTCCTCCCGCGTCTGTGGTGTGCTTGTCTGAACATCGATGGGGCTGGATTCCGGTTCCAACTCGACCGAAGATGGCTTGAGTGCATTCAGACGCGCCAAAAGATCCTCGTCCTGGCCTGGCATCATGCGGACGACTATGATGGATGGGATGATGACCCCGGGTCTGTGCGAAGGTGTTGTTGTCCGTGAGGTTGGATTGATTTGGCCCGGTCAATATTTCACGACTCATCAGCTATTCTTATCATTTCTATACCCATCTGGCCCCAAAGAGTCCTCCTACAGCCGCAGCGGCCAAAAGTCTCGGTACTCCCGGCGAGCGTAGGAATCGGGAATACTCGATTTCTATTTTCTATGCCGATACCCGCGGCGTTACTGGTGGAAGCATCGCGATGGCTCGGCGTTTGTGATTTAGCAAAGCTCTTTTACTGTCTCCGTTCCGATTGAGCTTCTCACACAAGCCGAAAATCAAATGCTCACATACACCCCGGCCAAGTGCTTATGCTGACCGGCATTCGTATTACATTTATTTTAAGCTTCATCTTCATGTGAATCCGAATCGAGAACTTGTTATCAACCCAGTCCGGCTTCACAGCTACAACTACCATGCATAGCCAATTCCGGCGGAAAGGTAGGAAAGCTCACCTTCCGAACACATGTTATACGGGTCTGTATGGGACTGGGGCGTGTTGAATTAGGTGGATGTTTGTTTATGATGAGATTAAGATTAATGTTCATTCTTACACGATTTAGTCATTCTAATCTCCTAGCAATCTTTGCATTATATCTCGTTATCAACGTTCATTCGATTCGTTCGTCCTCTTCATTTCTCCCCCTTCATTCCATTCGTTCTCCCTCTCCCTCAAGAACTCTTCGACAAATCCTGACTACTACACACACACCTCGTATCCGTCGAGCTATAACATCAAAGAGTCAGCATCATCATTATCATCCAAAACTCCTCAAAGATCCCAACTCCATCACTTACCTATGTTTCTGATACGCATATGTATACCCCTGCCCCCCACAAATCGTATCACAATTCTTCGTTTGATCCACACAGTATCTTGCATCGGAAGAAATGCACCCCCAAGCCCCCTCCGTCTGGCATTCCTGCAGAAAGTAACTCGCGCAAGGCGAGCCTGTGATGTAAGGTGGAGTCACGGGGGTGTTAGAGGGAGGGGGAGAGAACCCGCATTGTTGATATGAAGCCCGAGCGTCATATTCCGAGCAGACGCATTGGGTGTCGTCGGAACTGGATTCGAAAAAAGATAGAAATTTTAGCAAGTGGGAATTGAGTAGGAAAGAAGTGGAGTGGATTTGCTTACTTTGCTTTTTGATAAACGAAACTAGATCCACCGCATTGCGATACACAGAATGGGAAGTATGGGGTTTGCTTGACGCAGTTTTGTCCGGCGGTTTCAAAGAGGCGGACGCAGCCGTAGGCGTTTTGGTTGAAGCAGTTGGAAAGTCCGGTGCAGTCGCATGGACCTCCTTCGACGGTGCGTGGGCCTAGTGTTCTGGCTGAGGCTCCGGCTGCTGAGGCAGTGGTGAGCAGGAGGATTGGGGACCACATGTTTGGTTGTTGAATTAGATGGATGGAGAGTGTGGAGGATGGACGTGCAAATTTATAGGATTTCAGAGGACTCTCCTATTACTCCGGATACGAAGGTAAGATTTGTGTCCGAAAGCTTCCCTCCCTGTCCTGTATACAGTATATACACCCTGATTAAGCGAGATGACGGACGGGGATAATCCCCGTAAGTGGCAGCTAGAATAGCTGGAAAACGTTAGATGTAAACTTCTTAAAGGTGCGGATAATTCCTTTAGGCAGTACGCTGGCTTGATAGTCGCTTTGTGCTGCTATACGCAGACGGGCTATACGGAAACGATAGCTGTTCTCGGCCTTTTGGAGGTCAAACACATAGCACAGCCCGATAAAGCGAGATGGCAGGTTGAGCCATTCCACCCTTGACCTTGTGGTTGTCGGCTCATATCAGCAGCTATAGATAGTCAGTCAGCGTTGAAGAGTTCAGCGGGTATTATTGTACCGTATTAGGCAAGCAGAAACAGTGGATCGAAGCTTATAATATGCATATGCGAGGTGGACTATTCCTATATTTTCAATAGCCAGGATTCGAGCATTGTATATTGTATCTCGTATAATTTAACGACTACAAGGTTAGGGATAGCCTGGTCTACCATTTTGCTTCCATCGAGGCGTACAGCGTCTAATCACATCGGAGTGAAAGTGGGTATTCCCCAAACCCTTGCTCCTCATGGATTCTAGCGAATAGCAACTTGTTATGTAGTCTGTGGGGTGTGGTATGAAAGACTTGGCTCATTTCGAGGTGATACCTTGCAGCTCTCTACTGTATACTAAATGGATCTGAGCGGACGCCGGATAGAGGATATTCGCAAAAGTCCGGCCGACGTGCTTGTCAACATAGCCCCTTGCATCAATGTGTGATTGCCAAGAGTGTTAGCTTTGCAGCCTGCTGGTGCCTGAGAGCTCTGCGGACCTCTTCGATGTGCTGCTTAAGCGATGCCGAAAATGGAGATGTGACCTTGCGATATTAGGCAGCGAGTCCAATGATTGCTATTCAAGTGAAGACAGGAGATCTTTCATCCGCGGGTCAAAGAAGATGAAGGCGTTGCAGCCTTCGTTGGGAAGTCCATATATGAAGGCCATGGCACTTCGTTGGTACGATGCCATTGTTTCTGTGAAAGAGCATCAGAATGGGTACCCGAAGCCTCATCTGCGTCTACTACAAAGGCCAGTTTATGATCGCACAATATGCCCAGTAAGATTCCAATGATACTCAATTCGGCCTCTTCTAATCTTTCTGCAGATGGGACGGCTATCCTGAAGGCCAAGGCTGGGACATTGTCCAATTCCTGCTCCGGTCGAGCAATATTAAAGCCCTGAAAACTGGCCTCCAATACATCAAAGTCATTGAGAGCAACGATCAGCTCAATCAGCAAGTGGTCAATAACGATCAGGGACCATTTCCCTCGCCAGCGTCGCTTTCTCGTGAAACCGGAGCGAAGATCCTTGAAATTGTCGCTCAAGCTACAGAGCAGAACGCGGTCCCGATAGTGAAGGAGCTGGGCTTTGTCAACGATGGTCTCTTCTGTGAGTGGGCATATGTGGTTGATCTTGACAAAGAAGTGTTGGAAGTCTACGCTGGACAGTTCGGATTGGAGAGAAGGGGTATGAGCGGCGGCGCAGAGCGATTCAAGGAGGTGGGAGGTGGGCAAGTCGGGTTGCTTCAGTCGATTTCATTCGCAGACTTGCCGAATACGTGTGGAGAGTTTGAGGAGTTGTTTGCGGTTGCTGAATGTGATGAGGAGGCTGAAGAAGACACGTAGAGTACAATGGCACTTGTTACGTTAGTATAACAGTACTTCACGCTGTCCGCGAGTATTCGTGCAGTGACACGGCACTGGTGGTGACGGTGGTGGTGGTGGAGGATCAATATACAAATACCACCCGCCCGCCCCGCCCCGCCCCGCCCCGCTCCGCCTCAACTTGGACAGTTCTCCCCACCCACCCACTCCATTGAATGCACTTTCAACTTCCGCCTCAGCTCGCAGACCACAGTCGCTGAGCGGACATCGCACAGCAGCCCAGCCCAGCTTAGCCCAGCCCAGCTTAGCCCAGCCCAGCCAAGCCAGCTCCGCACTCGCACGCGCCAAGAGCAGCAATCCGCAATCGAAAACGACTCCGCATCTACACAACCACCCATGTCCGCTGCGTGAGCCTTTGAGCCTCATCAGCCCAGCCCAGCCCAGCTTTGCAAGACTGCATTGCATTGCGCTCCTTCACCCACGGCACAACTTCGCATCTGCTCTTGGTGGGGCTCTTGACCGAGTCTCCGTCGCTCCAGCCATCGTCTCTGCTGCACACAGCAGCAGCACCACCACCACCACCACCACCGTCGCCTGCCCGCCATGTCGTCGACAACATCCGCAACGCCCACCCCGTCCCCCACTCCCACCGGCAACAGCAACAATGGTGGTAACAACGGCCCCACAAGCTCGCCGCTGCTGTTCTTCGTCGCCCTAGGATTCGGTGTGGTATTCACTAACCTATGGTATGCCTGCCGCTGTTCGTCCGCTTCCGCGAACTTTACCCATCCTCGGATCAAATCAATGCTAATCTTGGTGCGCCTGCAGGATCATTGTCGGCGTAAAATATTGCTTCAGATATAACCAGCGCAATCGCGCCGCACGTACCCTGGGCGAAAATGGCGAACCTATCGACTTGGGACAAATGCCGAACCCACGGCGGAGACGACGAGAGAAGAAGTTGATGTCCATGGAAGAGGTCAATGAGAGATTCCCATTGACCAAGTACAAAGTATGGCGATCGTCGCGGGAAGCGCAAGGCTTGCCGACAGAAGGAGGTGTTACTGCGCCACCGAGTCGCGCTGCTAGTATCACACAAGAGCATGTCATAATCGAGACATTTGGAAAGCAGTCAACGGATACTGCACGGCCGCAGACCGCGCTCAGCATAGCGCGGCAGGATCACGCGAACGCCGCCACATCGCCTCCAGCTGCAGCTGCAGCGAATGTTGACAAGACACCCGAAAAGGTCACCATTGAACCGATAGAAAATGCTCTCACAGCGCCCCATCGAACCAACTCCATGGCTACTGATATGGACGAGGATGATGATGATCCGATCAGAGAGGCAGCCCCCGCAGAAATGCTGGCTGCACCTGGCGATACCTGCGCCATCTGTTTGGACACGCTGGATGATGACGACGATGTACGAGGTTTGGCATGTGGCCATGCCTTCCACGGCTCGTGCGTGGATCCATGGCTTACCAGCAGAAGAGCCTGTTGTCCCCTTTGCAAAGCAGACTATTACGTGCCGAAGCCGCGGCCCAGTGGCGAAGATCTCAACGCTGCAAACGGACGTAGAGGAAGGCATGCAATGCCACAGCAGCCGCAATCCGTATGGATCGGAGGCCGAGCGGGCGCCTTCCGACCACGATTCACATTCACGGGACCACGCCTCTTCGTCAGCGATTCAAATCGTGGGCAGCGACATCCTACGCCTGCACAAATGGAACGTGCACGGCGAGAACAGGAGATCTACCAGAATCCTGCCGCCGCGCAGCCGTCGAGTAATCAACGCACCTGGCGATCGCGCATACCGAATATCCCTCGCTTCGGAAGACGAAATCAGCAAATTGGAGAGCATGGCGCTGCCGAGCAGACTGGCATCACGGCTGGTCAGCTTGAGGCAGGCAATCGCTGAGCATGCGCCACCAACCTTACTTTTCCATCTTCACCTGTACATTTACCCACCAAAACCCGGCGGACATGTCGACCTTCTCGAAGAGGGGCAACCAACTTTTTTGATCTGAGCGAGCGAACGACCGCCACGAATAATGTGAATGACGACTGTTTTTTGATTTTGGAAGCGATATATGCACGACAGCATCACCACTCGAATTCACTGATCGCGACTTGAACATTTCTTGGTATCAGGTTGCGTACGAGATCTCTCACGCGCGTGAATGACCTTGAAAAGTCGAGGACGGCGCCAGGCGAGAAAAGAGTTAACAGCTTCTATTAGGCATTTGGGCCATTTTTTCGCAGGCTCATTTTGAGATGGGCGTAAGAGAGGCAGTTTTATCTCTCTCAGCTAGGTACCATTGCATCATCATCATCACCAGCATTGGCGCGAAAGGGAGAAGGAGTGATTGATTCCGTTTTTTTGGGGGGGAGCTATGTGTATATAATTTGGAGGTATATCTTTCATCTTGGTTACCTACCAGGCTCACTGGAATGAATGCCTTCCTTCTTGCTTCACCTATGCCTCACCACAAGACATGACAAGGCTGCTGATCCGACGCATGAATGTGTATGCTCCCCAACCGCCGTGGCTGTCTACTTGTTGTCGTACCTTTGAAGTTCATCGTCTATGCTGTGCGAGTTGGAACACATGTACTGTCTGTGAACAGTCGAGTCAGTTCAGAAGGTCAGCTCTTGGCGTATGATAGTCAGCAATTTTTCCCATTGATTTTCTTGTTGCCCTCTCCTAACAAAGCAGCACTTGTAATCTCCGGAAATAATCTTCGATGCACGAACGCACGCGCAAGAGGTAGAGTTGGAGTTCTTATTCGGGCTGCTTCGAGACTTGCTACAGACAGTATCTATCAAAAACGTAACACTTTTCACCCTTCGATATTGCTTGCCTAGCTTTACTTCCCAGGCCCAATGTCATCTGTTCAGCGACGACGGTTCAAGATCGCATCTACTCCTGTGCCAAGTCCTGACCCTCCTTCAATCCCTCCACAACCAATGGATGACCTTCGGCTCTTTCGTAAATGTCACGTACGTCCTCCGTCATGGTCTCGAAGTGCGAGCTCGCATCGTAGGATCTGCTGATGAAGATGTTGTCGTCTTTGCCGTTGGACAGAGGCTCGTAGATGGGGATTGGTGGGCCCATGAACTGCTCTTCTATCCGGCCGAGACGCTCAAGACCTGGTAGGAGCTCGAGGTGGTGGTTTGAGTTGGTCTCGGCGATGGTGCTGACGATGGCGATGTAGTAGCCTTTGGGGCAGACGTTGTGGGTTGAGGAGACGACGGCGACGTAGATGTCTGTTTTTGAAACGTCAGTGGGGTAGGACTGCATTTGAGTTTAGGAGAGCGTTTCGTTTCACGCACCATGTTTTCTGCCAACTTGCGATTGTGGAATGATGAGCTGCAATGAGTCGGCATTGTCGGTCTTGTCGATTGGGTGATTGAGGATGCAAATCGCCTTGAGCAGATGTCCAGATACTCGGCACTTGTCTGGGAAGTATGATGGGTCGGCGATGATTTTCTTGCACTTGGTCTCGAACTTCATGCCCTCGCCCTCTTCGCCCCGCTCCTTCATGGTTGCTCGGATGCCCGAGACCTTGCCGCCTTCGTACTTGACTTCATCAACGTTGGCGTTGAGCATGTAGGTACCACCGTAGATGGCACTGAGACGAGCAAAGCCTTGTGGCAGCTCTCCCAGACCGTAGAGTGGGTAGATGTATGGGCTCTTTCCGTATCTTGCCATGCTGTTCACGTAAAGTCTGATGCGCTCGACGCAGTCTTTAGCTGCACCCTTGCGGTCAATGTAGTCGTCGGTAGGATAGAGAGCCATGCTGTGGCCGATGAAATCGCGGGTGCTTGCCTCGAGGCCGTACTTGTCGTACACTTGCTTCATGGTCGTCTGCGCGAGATTCATGCCTGGGAGATACGAGTGAGTACATTCAGGGTCAAGCATGTACCTGCAGTCATTCCATACCGTTGTGTGTGCTTGGGTTACTCTCGTCAAAGTTGCCAACCCACTGCAAGAAGTTCCTTGCTCTCCTCTTCTCGAAAATGCCCATCAGTGGGCTCGACAGCGCCTCACTGGCATTGCTCGGCACCTTGGCGACTGTTGCCTTAGGGCCACTTGCCTGCTGAACATAACTACCAGCAATCTGCTTGAACTCGATGTAGCGTGTGACGTCGGTGGAGACGAGGATGTTGGTGAGCTCTCCGTTGGCCATCAGGAGCTTGGGCACGAGGTCGATATTCCAATCATTGGCACGCCCATACTTCTTCCACGGTTCGCTGCCTTTCTCGTAGTTTCCATACTTCTTGAACATTGTTTCAAGGTTAACGGATGCTGCCTCGCCGCCATAGTGGTCGTTGCGGTCCATATGGAGCACTTTCTGGCCCTTGACCGAGAGGACTCCAGAGAGGATGCATTCCGTCAAGCCGGTGCCAAGCACGACGACATCGTACTCTGGTGCAATCTCATCCATGCTGGCGGTATGGAGAATGGGTATATGGAGGGATTCGAGAAGTGTTTCTGTGCTGTCTTTCTGGCGGTCAACAAGGTAGTGGAATAGCTCGCATCTGCAGCCAACAAGCTCCCCTCGCTCGCCTTGAACCCCACGCAAGCAGAGTGGGTCTCCTCGCCACTTCCCCGAGCCCTAGCTACCCGCCCGAGCCCTAGTAGATATACCAATATAGAATCGGCCTGAATAAGATTACGTGCTGTTTCTACCTATTATATATTATATCCATTCTTAGTTAGTAGCGCGGAGCGCGTTAAGTCGCGCCTCGAAGTCTACTAACCTAATATTCGTATTTCTTCCCCCTTTTATAGTAGAATCTCTAGTAACTACCGAAAATAGCTAAATCTCTATTATACGAAGCATATATTAGCGAGTTTCTCGATAATCTCGTCGCTAGTAGCGAGGTAGTAGTAGTAGTAGTAGTAGAAGATACTAAAGAAGGCGCTAAAGATACTAAAGGCGCTAAAGGTACTAAAGGCGCTAAAGGCGCTAAAGGTGTTAAAGGCGCTAAAGGCGCTAAAGGTGTTAAAGGTATTAAATCGTAGGAAAAGGTAGAAATATCGATAGTAGCCGATATTAACTTATAGGAAGAGGTTTAATTTGTCTTAGAAATATATATTCGAGGCCGCTCGCGCTTACTATCGCTACCGCTACTACGCGAGCGTATTAATCTGCTAGATTATCGGTTAGTATTACTACGACCTTAAAAGTACGAGTTTATAACGATTAAGCGCCCTCGTAGACTATTGCCTTACTAGTCGTCGTTTTCTTTAAAAAACGCGCTTACGCGCTATATTTAGTCGTTTAGTCTAGATACTAGATTCGAGTTTAAAGAGTAGAAACCTAGGAAGAATAAGAATAGTATTAAATACCGCTATCTCTACGTCTACGGCTACTTTAGTAAGCCTAATAAACGTACCTAGATAACGACTAATAAAGCGAAGAAGAAGACGAAAAAGATAGGCTATATTACGGGTAAGTAACGCGTACGCAGATGCTAGATATAAGACTTAATAGGTTCGATAAAGAGCTAAGTCTATCTACGTAAATCCGAATAGTTTTATATAGTGCGCTAAGCGCTAAGTAGTAGGTTAGAGTCGCGTAGGCCGAATGCCTAAGGCTAGCGCTTTCTACCTAGGGCATAGCCCTTTATATTATCCCCGTCCTCCTCCTCTTTCTTAGTAGGGATAGAAAGCCCTCTATAGTTTCTATCGCTATTACTTTATCCGTTAGATCTATACCTATCTAAGCTTCTCTAGAGTAACGCGCTCGTAGTTTCCTTCTTTGCGATCGGGGTTTCTACTACTTTCCGGTCGGGATTGCTATATCTAGGGTTTTAATAACTATAACTTTCTTCGCGACTACTAAACCGCGCTCTTTTACCTATTTACTACCTTCTAGAACGCGCCGTAACTGCGCTTTTAAATACTTTACTTATAATCGCGCTTTCCTTTACTTTCGCGACCTTTACTTCGGCGTCGCCTTCTAGGAGTATTAATATTTCCCTTTTCTTCTTCTTCTTCCTCTTTTCTTTATATATACCTCTACTACTACTGCTACTACTACTACTACTAATACCGTAAGTCCCTCCCTATCCTCCTCGGTTCCTCTCGTAAAATTAACTTGTCCTAGATAGCTCGTCGAATTTACTACGTTAGTTGCTATAACTCCAGCGAAGACTACGCCGACTAATCTATAAGGTTCCCGTCCGATTTGTCGTAGGGTTCGCTAACTTTTCTTAAGCCCGCTAGCTCGAGGGCTTACGCTAATTGCGCTCGTAAGAGAATTGCTTACGCCCTACTATAAGTTATCGCGACTTTTGTACCGAATCTCTCGCTAACTATTTAGTCCTTAAATAGCCTACGTAGCCTACGCTAGCTATACCCGCGCGACCCGCGCTAATATCGCCGAGAAGTACTCCGAGCTTCTTAAGGTTCTTAAGGCCTAGAAAGCTTTTAAGTCTCTCTAGCTATAGGGGTTATTATCTAGGTAAGATTCTCCGTTTCCTATAATAAAACCCTCGCTAACTGTTTGTTTTAGCGCTATCGCTTCGGAGGTAACGAATACCGTCGCTAATGTCGTAGCTTAATAGACTTAGACGTAAGTTCCTCGCTACCCTTCGACTTTCTTTCGCTAACCTCTCTTTTTTAGTAGCGTTCCGACTACCCTCTACCTCGGTAATAATCGTCTAGGTCCGCTAGAGGAGTAAAGGTTTCTATAGGTTTTCTAGGGGGCTCTAGGTAGTTTCGGATATGTTATTATTATTTTTTTTTGTAGTCCTAAGGTAACCTTCTAATTTCGGGCGGAGACCCGACACTTACTTACAAATACCTAAATAAAATTCTTCTTAGCTCTAAATTATATTTCTCTTCTCTAGTGTTCTAGTAATCCTAAGTCTAATAGGTTAGTAAGAAAATCCAAACTCTAGAAGTTAGTAAAAGTCCCTAGAATCTGTAAACCCGTTACTCTACGGAAAAACTCTAGATTACCGCGTTACCTCTTCCGTTTTCCTCTCTTCTCCTAATCTCCTAGAGGCCCGTCGTTCTCCTCGATTTATCTATATTTCGCTTCGAAGTCGTCTAGCGCGGAGGTATCCGCGATATAGTCTAGGGGTTCCTACGTAGGTTTATAGTACCCGCTCTATTTTACAAGTACTTCTCGCCCCTAGCCTCGCTTCTTTTTTCGGATATATAGGATTTCTTCGACCTGCTACTCTTTATACGTCTCGAATAAGATAGAGTCCGGCTATTTGTCGTTAGTTACCTATCTTAGAAGGGGGTCCCGGCTCGTGAGTCTTAGAAGGTCGGTATAGAATACTAGGTAAATATTGCTAGATATCCCTAAGAGTTATACTAAGATAGGCGATAATACCTCTTCTACCGTATACTTAGCATACTTCGAGTCGAGGCTCTTCTTTAGTCTACCGGTCTAGTAATTCCTTAGGTCGAGCTAGACCTTATCTCCGATACGATATACCGGCGCTAGAGTTCTAGTCTTATTCGCGCTATCCTCTTATTTCTATATAGCTTCCGCTATTTGTACTTAGTATAAATCTAAGATCTTCTTAATCTTGTTTACGAACTCCTCCGCCCGTTTCGCCGTAGTTAGCTATCTATCGATAGCTAGGTCCTCTTCTAACGTAATAGAGGAGGTAGATTCGTAACCGTAAGTCGCGAAGAAAGAGCTTATTCCTAACCCCGCTTAGTATCTTTCGTTAAACGCTAGTTCTACCGTAGGAAGCTATTAGTTCTAATCGGACTATATCTAGTTAATATAGTTCTATAGGTAAGCTTATACGTCTTAGTTTACGCGCTCCGGACCCCCGTCGGTTTATAGATAGTAGGCGGAGCTTAACCTCTACTTTACGCCGAGTAGTCGATATATCTCCCTCTAGAAAGTGCTTATCTAATTCGTACCTCTATCGCTAGTAATAGTACGAGGTAGTCCGTAATGCCTAACCTAGTATTTTAGAAATAAAACCGCGCATTCCTCTACTTTTATAGAGGGAGTACCGATAAGGGCGATCTATTTACTAAGACGGTCTTTAATTACCTATAGATACTAGTTCCTATCTAACTCCGGTAGGTTAGTTATAAAGTCTATCGAGATTTCCTAGAAGAAACGGTCGGGTACCGGTAGTAGTTTTAGAAGGCCGTATTTGTGTTCCCTCTATACCTTATTACGTCTATAATAGTTGTAGTTCCGTAGGAATTGCCGTACCTGCTTCGACTATAGCGGCTAGTAAAAGTCGCGACCTAGTATAGAAGTAGTAGAATCCCGGCCGGGGTAGCCGTAGAGCGGCGAGTCGTAGATCGACTAGATAATCTTCGTACGTAGTATATCCTACTATAGTTCCTCGGCCTCTATGTCTTTATATTCGGTTTCTGTCGTCGCTAGGGCTCCTAGAATCTAGAGCTTACCGCGGTAGCGAAGGAACCCCTTAGGGTCTATTATATAATCCCCGATCTGAATTTTTACTTTAATTTCCGGTTACAATATTCTATATCCCTTACGGACTTTCTATACTACCGTCTAGTATACCGTATCTTTCTCGATAATACTCTTCTATATATCGTTTATCTCTAGGTCCTAGAATAGTTTAGCGCTTTCCGGCGAAGGCTACGCGGGCTCCGTTTCGTTCGCGAGTAGGGATAACGGGCTCGCCTTTATTATACGCGGGAAGCTACGGATAGTAGTACTAGAAATCTAGACGTTTTCCGGCTAGTTTAGAGAGAGGTCCGGCTCTAAGAATCTCCGGAACCTCGAAAGCTTATCGTCTTAGCCTAACGTATCTTATTCCCTCCTCGATAAGGCATCCGGTAGGATAGCTTCGATTCCCGGCCGGTAGACTAGGATAAACTAGTACTTCGCTAGTTCTTCCTACTATATCTATTTTTCGGATAGCTAGCGCTTTACTATAAAGTATTCTAGGTTCTTATAGTTTGTCTAAATCGTAAAGGGGCTATATAATTTTAGCTCGGAGTCTTAAAACTTAATACTAGATACGACTACGAGCATTTCCTTATCGTAGATGTCGTAATTAATCTCCGCTTTATTTAGTTTCTTTAAAAAGAAGCCTACCGGTCGGCGGATTCCTGCCTTTTTTTAGATAAAAGCGCCCCTAATCGCGAACCCGCTATAATCCGTCTTAAGGAAGGTAGGGAGGGACGGGTCCTACTAGGTAAGTACTAAGGCGCGGTAGAATTTGTCCTTTAGCGTCTCGAACGCTTTGTTCTATTCTTCTCCCTAGGCGAACGGGGTTCCCTTACTAGTAAGCGTAGTTAGTACGGAGATCTTAGAATAGTTCGGTACGAATATATAGTAGTAGTTTGTAAATCCTAAGAAACGACGAACTTCCTTTTAGGTCTTAGGTACTACCTATTTTTATATAGCTTCTACCTTTTCGGGGTCGGCTAATACTCCTCCTCTATCGGCGTAGACGATAAATCCTAGGTACTTAATCTTTTTCTAGGCGAATTCGCTTTTTTTAATATCGAGGTAAAGGCCTCCGTCTTA